ATGAGAATTAGTGGAGACATTTTTTTATTGAACAGAATGCTAAAATAAAGAAGGGTTTCTGCACGACCCAGCCGGTACGGGAAAATTAAAACAGCGTAAGAAGTCAGCGTCAGTTTTTCCGCAAATTATTTTGTGCAGAAACAACAAGGCACGAGTAGTCTGCGAGTTGATAAACATTGTAGAAGCAGATTTTATTTGCGGTCCTAATAATACTTATAATAAAATTCCGATCATAAATTATTCGAATAAAATATTTTTACACGATTTCAATACCCGACGCATCAGTAGCCGACAAAGAATTCCATATTACACTTCCAAACTCAAGCTTTGTGCGTATACCAGACGGGAAACGAAGTGAACAATGCGTAAAACATTAGTGAAGTCACAAGATAAGCGTGGTAACAAGCCCAGAATTCGGACGGGCGAGGCGCCTGTCTGCGTAGCATGATAGGAAAAAAAAACGTCCTGCGTCAAAATAAATTCCAAGTTCGCTAACAACAGTGAGTCGCGTAATAGTTGCTAGCTGATGTACTACATACATACGGGTAAGATGAAATCTCGCGTTTTTGTGACATTGTCAGTAGTTTTGTTTTGTCTGGACTAAAGGGAATCTGAAGCGGTTTTGTATTTAAGGAAACATACCTTAATCGTCTTCATTTGGCGCCCAGGATCTCGAATATCGAGATTATTTCTCCATTTGGGGCATGGAGGCTGCAGAAAAACATTTTCAAAGTACCGGTGAAAATTATTTTCTGCAGTCTCGGAGTGTGACGTCATAAAAAGAGTTTTCGGAACATCCGTTCTCGCGCATCTTCAGCGCCCATCGGTTTGATGAGCGCTGAAGAACGGATATTTCGAAAACTCCTTTTATGACGTCACGCGGACTCCTGCTATTTTCAAAAGAGTAAAAAGAAAAGTCATCAGCACTGGTGTTAGTGCGGGGGAACATACCTGGCAAGCTTGCAATTGCACGCGCTGCCCACATGAGCGGCACGCGCTTGGCGGCCGAAAGACCCACTTTTGACGTAACGACTGGTCGGAGGTTTCTCGCGTGCCTCATGATTCGCTGACATATAGACTAAAAAAACCGGGACTTCCTGATAGGCTTGTTCATTGGATACAGGAATATCTACTCAGTCGAACGCCATTTGTTGAATGTAACGTGTCTACGTCTGATAACCTATAGGTTTTGTCTGGAGTACGCAGCACAGGGCTCCGTTCTTCTGCCTTTACTATTTTTAATTTCTATAAATGACATTGCCAAAGATTTGGTGAAAGTGTTACCGTAAAATTGTTTGCTGGAGACTGCGTCATTGGTTTTGCTATCACGAACGCTTCCTGTCAGACACTGCTGAACCAAAATCCTTGTAAACTTGCGGACTGGTGCGAACTGCACAATATAAAAATTATTTTTTTCCAAAACAGTCGTAATGGCTGTATCAACAAATAAAACTTCCTTATCGTACACTTATCGCATCTTGCGTCAGTGCATTCAGACTGTTTTTTTTTTCGGTGAAATATAAAAGTGTTACAATAAAAATTAACCTTATGTGGGACAAGCACCTAAATAACATATTCTCTGGGGCATTCAAGAAACAGTGCTTTTACATACAAATTTAAAGGGGTCTCCCTCGAATGCCAAGCTTCAAACATACCGTTCTCTAGTGCGATCAGTCCTAGAGTACGCCTCAATCGTGTGGGATCCGTATTTGATTAAAGACACTATGCAGGTGGAGCGAATCAAAAGTCCTGCTTGGTGTGTCTTATGAGACTATCGATAATCATCAGCAATTATCAATGCTAGTGCAGCTGGAGCCGGAGCCGCTCCACTTAGGCCTAGTAATCGTCAGAGTAAGATTTCCTTATTTACTCCTTCATATCAGATTTGGCATATCAAGGGACAAAATGTTTATTTTTCCTCGCAGATCAACAAGAATAAATCTCTCGAACGTAATTCGACCATACTTTGCTAGAACTAAACTACTGCAAAAATCGTCGTTTCCCAACACAATTGAGCAGCGGAATTGCTTACCGACATTACTTCTTGAAACCATAGATGTGATTGCATTTCAGTACTTCGATTTGTAACACCCGATGTAAGCCCCTTCTGTCTGGGCTGTGCTGGTGCCCGGCAGTATTCGAAATAAATAAATAAATACAAATGTAGTGCCTAGGGACCAAGTATGTAGGATTAACTTTTCGTGCTTGGGGTGTAAATGCAAGGGTGCAACGTTTAGTCTCAGGGTAGAATATGCAAGGGCCCAAAGGTTATTCCTAGGGATTCAACCCTGAGGGACAAACAGGAGGGGCGCAAAGGTTGTTCCCGTCCCCGCTAGTCCATCAAAGAACTAATGGTGATGGCAGCGCATTTGATCCCAGGAGGGAATAGGTCGAGCTCCCTTTTCTCTTGAGTGTGCAGTAAAGGAGACAGTATCCTGATAATCATGAAGAAACATATTCCGTCATGCATGATAAGAATTCATAGACATAAAATGCGATGGATTTGTCAGATTTATTACATATTTATTTATTTTGGGTAGTGCAGACCTTGATTAACTTCTTGCAGGTGTGGGATATATGCCTCAAAGATGCAAATAACAGAAGAAAGAAAAAAGACACCTTTCAACCATCGTTTCACACAGCAGGAAGGGGAGTAGCAATGGTTTTCGCAATAAACAATCGAGGTTTAAATACAAAAACAAAAAGTGACAGAAAGCATTTGGCATGATCATCGAGTGCTTCATTAAAGTAAGGGGAGATGAAAATACCATAGGGCAGCATGCTCCAACTAGATACAGGGCGTGGAAAAAATGGAAAAATTTAAAATGTTCGTTCCAGCAAATATTGGCTGAAACTATGAGCCACCCATGCTGGCTTGTAGTTTCCCTTGAAGATATTGGGTAAAATAAGAGCTTGCGTCAATGCAGGGCTTCTTTTAATTAAGTAAATAGAAAAACCTTAGTTTTTCAAACATTCTGCGTTGTTCGAGTGACATGTTATTTGCAGATATCAACAAGGTTGGGTAATCCAACCTCTTATATATTCCATAAATTAAAATAACAGCTTTCCATTAAACCATCTCATGTTTTCGCAATGTTTTCTGATGTTCTGGTCTCAAATTATACTAGGATATTCTATTCCTGATCTAACGAAGGAGTTATACACTTAAACTTTAACGGATGTGGAGGCATGTTTTAGTCTGCGTCGAATAAACCTAATTTTCGGGAAGCAGACCAGCAGATATTTTGAATATGTCGTGATCACCAAAGATCCTTTGTTAAAATTACCCCATATTTATACTCATTGACCTTAGTTACTGAGGCGCTATTCGCATGATAAATTAATTTAGGGGGTTTAACTCTTCTGGTTACACCTAAACACGCCGTCTTTGCGGAATTAAGCTGAATTTCCCATTTGCTGCACCACTCGTCGATGGTTGCAATACTAGATTTATGCAATGAATATCTTCTTGTATCGTTGATATATTTGGTTTATATCGTTGGTATAGACCAAAACAATAAAGGACCGAGCACACTGCCCTGAGGAGCAGCAGAGGAAACCCCCAAGCTGCCGCAGAAATGGCCATCGACTTGTAGAAACTGGCTACGGGTAACAAATAGGACCCTATCCAATAGATCATTTCCATTGGTATGCCCAAAAGCTTAGCAATCCTCGGGGAAAAAAACAAACAAACCCGAAATCCAAGAAGAATTAATGCCGAATACACTCGCGTCAAATAATATATTTTGCATCCGCATATACGCATGCCGAAGCCACAGACAAATCAGTCCTTGTCGGCTTCACGAGGTCCGGGTCCCGAGTACATGATAGGTGGTGACGGAGACGAAGAAATAAAAATCAAAGTAACATACAGAACCCTACTGATGATGCAGATGGTTGAGCGTGTTGGTTATTAATTTACGATAAGGAAAGAGGAACATTTAAGACAAACAGACAAGACAGGCTTTCGACTTTCAACAAAACGGTTTGTTGAAAGTCGAAAGCCTCGGTCCTGAGTAATTCTTCTTATATAGCAGTGGTTCTCAAAAGGAGGTCCGCGGACCCTTTGGGTCCTCGAAGGCATTCTGGGGGTCCTCGAAGCCCTGACTCATCAGTCAAGCCTGGCAATAAAAGTTGTCTTTTTTTCTTTTTTAGATCGAGAAAAAATGTTTCAGTTTTCGGGCGCGTTTTCTAGTGTGTATGATCTACTTCACACTAGCTCTTAGTTATATCTTAATATTAAATCATAATTACATTAAACCTAAACCTTTGCCCTCCCTCCACCACGAACGGGGTCCTCTATCATCTCCGCCGATCCGGAAGGGGTCTGGAAACATCGGTGCTTGAGAACCACTGTTATATAGAATCGTTGGCTGATGAGACGACCTGAAATGATCGACTTGGCGAGCTGCGCATTGGTTATGAACTACCCACTTTTTCCGATATTTTGCTATCGTCAACTGACCTTCTACAAGATCTCCGGGTTGAACCGTTTTCATGTCAGGAACTATATAGTTCTTCTGTGACTAGTGCAGGTGCTCCGAAAATCTTCTTTTTGTAATTATCTTCGTCCGCATATCCACCCTGAGCAAATCAAGAAGCACTCAAATCTTTCAACTTAGTGCAAGGTGTCGTTTACTAGGGAAAAACAAATTGTAAACAAGTTTATCAGCGAAAAAAATATTAAACTGTTCGTTTTCTCCGGCTAAATTGAATAAATTGTCACAAACTCAGCGAGTTTTGCTTTCTCGCCGGTCGCGGCTGTTTTTAGAGCTAAGATAGATAGATAGATAGATAGATATTTATTTGTACATTTAAGTACAGGTCGCATAGAAGGCGTTTCCGCCCGTACACATATGTGCCTATGTGGCCAGCTAGACGATGATGGCGATGCGAGGCTTCTTGGCTTGAGAAGTGTGGGACGATGATGATGGGATGGTGAAGAAGGTGAAAAGTGAGGTGGGTGACGTATGATGAGGTATGCAAGACATCGTGGGTGTTTAGAGGTGTTTGGCTGCTGCCTTGCAGAACTGTGTCACCTCGTCTCTGTCTGTGATGGGCAAGCTGGTGATGGCGTCAGGCAGGGACCTCCAAAGTCTCACAGCCCGGAGGAGACATGAGTTGTCGTGCCGTTGGGTACGAGCGAAGAGAGGGTCTATGCGCCCGGTTCGTTCGTTGCGACGGGGCACAGAGCGAAGGTAGTCGTCCTGCAAAATCCCAGGACCAATCACCTGAGCCAGCAACCGTAGGGTGGCTACATCTCGCCGGCGGGGACAGAGTACTCCACTTGGCTGCTCTCAAGAGCTGGGTTGTCGAGATGTCCCGTGGCAAAAAGCGAGGACTTGGACAGGTTCGGCAGTAGACGCCGTAAGCTGCTCGCCGCTGGATGGTCTCTAGTGTCGCCTGAGCTGAGGCTCCCTGTGGCGACCAGATAGGCGAGCAATACTCTAATAGGGGCAGGACCAGTGCAGTGTACAGCTGCGCCAGCACAGCAGGCCCCAGACCCTTACTGATAGTTTGCACGAATCCCAGCATCCGCCGTGCACGTGAGGCGACGGAGTGGACGTGTGCAGTAAAGCTCAATTTGCTGTCAAGGGTGACACCCAGCAGGGTTATGTTCTCCTTTTGTTCCAATGGAGTTCCATTAACAGTTAAAATTACTGGTGGATTCTGTGCTTTCCTTTTTGTGGTGAAGAGAATTGTAGCAGATTTTGATGCGCTCAGGGGTAATTTGTTTCTGATCGTCCAGGCTTGGATGTGATCAAGATCTTGTTGCAGTTGTTTATAGTCTTCCTGGGATTGAATCGGTTGAAGGAGGGTGAGATCATCACCGTACATGATGGTGGCGGAGTCTATAACCTGGACGATATCGTTGATAAAGATTGAAAAGAGGGTTGGACCAAGTACTGTGCCTTGGGGGATTCCAGATTGAACGGTTCGGGATTGGGACCTTGACCCGTGGAATGTCACACTTTGTTGTCTCTGCAGGATGAAGTTAGATAGCCAGCGAAGGAGGGGACCCTCGATACCGGTGCTTTCCAGTTTGGTTATCAGGAGCTGGTGGTCTACTTTATCAAACGCTTTGGTAAAATCGAGCTGTACCAGTTCGCATGGCGTGGAGTTGTCCAGGCTGTCACTGATCTGGTGAACAGCAGTGAGCAGGGCAGTTTCACAGCTTCGACCAGGGCGAAAGCCATGCTGCGCTGGAGACAGAAGAGTGTGGGCGTTCAAGTACCTGTGTAGGGCAGAGTTTAACACTCGCTCCATGGTACGGCAGACGACTGATGTTGTTGAGATTGGTCTGTAGGATTCTGGCTTGTCTGCTGGGGATCCATTCCCTTTGTAGATGGGAGTGACATAAGCCTGCTTCCATGGGGCGGGGACGCACCCAGTGTCCAAGAGCTGCTGGAACAGTCGGGCCAGTAATGGGGCTAGTTGTTGACCAGATGCTTTAAGGAGCGCAGGGTGGATGCCGTCAGGACCGGGCGACTGTGAAGGACTCAGTCGGGTGAGAGCCTCCTTGACATCATCCTCGTTGATAAGGATACTGGCTAAGCGGGGCGAGGAGGCCGACTGCGATGATGATGGGCAAGTTTCTGGTTGTGATGAGAGGCTGCAGGGTGGTGTCCATGCTGCGGCGAAGTGCTTGCTAAAAAGTTCCGCAGTCTCCAAGTCGCTCAGAGCCTTGCCGTCCTGGCATATGTTTAGAGCAGACGTGTTCTGTTTGTTACGCCTTACATAGGCCCAAAATATCTGTGGATCCCTTACAGCCCGTTGTGCCATGTCCAAAGCATAATCTTGGTGAGACTTTCTTATCTGTTTTTTCAGGTTTCTCTGGAGGGTGCGGGCTGCCTCAAGTGTAAAGGGACAGCTGTTTCGCTTTGCTTGTGCGAACAGCTGACGCTTCCGTCGGGCTTGGAGCAGTATCTCCTTTGTTATCCAGGGCGCTCGGGGTTTGTTTCGGCTTTTTCTGGAGGGGACGCATTCAGCTTCGATGGCGTGCATAAAGTCGAGCCATATGTCATATGGGTCTTCATGGTTGTCTTGGAACACCATGCCCCAAGGGGCGAGGTGTATAAGCGAATTCAGGTGGTTGGTGTCCAATCTTGCAAAGTTATGGAGGCGTCTGGCATGAGGACCGGATTTAGGCAAATGATGGTATGTGGTCGCAGTCAATGCTTTGTGGTCAGAGCCCGTGAGGCTGGGTTCTGTGAAACAATTTGAGACGAGTGTGGGGTTAGAGACGAACATGAGGTCGAGGAAAGAAACTTGGTTATTGGTGGTGACGTAAGTTGGCTCGCTGCATACTTGGGTAAGTCCGAGTGTTTCTATGTGGTCGAGGAGGACAGTGTCAGATGGTCCTGTGGGCTTGGGAGAGCTTAAGTCTGACCAATTAATGTGCGCATTGAAGTCTCCGACAACTAGCACGTTGGAGTACTTCTTCTTTGAGAGGGTAACGGAGGACAGCGCTGACTGTAACAAATCGTAGCTTTCTGTTTTCTTGCTGGGGGGACAGTACGCAACACAGAGATGTAGAAGGCCCTGTTTTGAATGAAGGTCCACAAAAATGGCCTCGAGGTCGTTCCGGTCTAGGTCGTGTCTTCTAGTGCATGTGATTGACGACGGTATGGCGACGAGAACTCCACCACCAGACCTGTTACGATCTTTCCTGTAGACTTTAAACCGTGTCAGGTCGACGAGCTGGCTGTCGTAAATGGAGTTGTCCAGCCAAGTCTCACACAAGGCGAATATGGTGTTGGGGCGGGACTTAGTGAGCACCCAGAACTCCAGCATTTTGTTCTTCACGGACCTGAGGTTGGAGAACCAGAAGGAGGTTGTTTTCCTTGTTTCCGTGGTACCGGGAGCCGTTGGTCTGTCCCCGGCTGTGGTAGGTGATGCGATCGTCGTTAGTGCAGGCTGCTTCGGCGCTTCGAAAAGGCTGTCGTCGAACGATGGCAGCTGGCACACGCCGCAGTACCATGGTTCTGTGCAGTTCGACAGACGCCGATAGGTAGGCAGTGAGAGCTGCTCACATTTCCTGTGGACCCAGATGTTGCACCCGTCGCATTGTAACGCCGCCACGCTGTCGTAGAGCGGCTTGCAGCAGCGAGGACAAGTAGGACACGGTCCCGGGTTGAGCGGTACATCGCCAGCACAGAGCAGAATCAAGCACACATGAGGTTGAAGGACGGAGGTCGGGCGGCAGTACGTCCGGTTTTTCGCCGGTGACGGGTTCGGGCCGAAGCGGGTAGGCTTAGCAAATCCGCGAGTGAGTGCCGCCACTGTGCTCCACTCCAGACGATCGAAGTATGCTTGACGATGGTCATGTTGCGTCGCGAGGTGTTTGCGTAGAAAGAGCGCCGCAGGCGAAGAGTACCTAAGCGTTGAGAGCGCAAACCAAAGCATAAACAAGCGCACGCACTTCAAAACGTGACCGTTCGTCATGGCGCCCAGTGTTGGGCGCCATTTAAATTCGAATATTATACATCTAATATGAAAGAGCACTAGTCAAAAGCTTTACACATCGTTTTGTAGCAACATACAAAAGTGGTAACCGCCGAAATTGAAGCACACAAAGTTGATAGATGGCGCACGTTGCCTCCTAATACGAAACCTCCAGATCATTCCATCAATCCACAGGAACCAAAGGGAAGCAGTTTACTATTGATGTCGTCAGATGGCAGCACCAAATAAAGTCTTGGAAGCAGTTGATGTCACGTTCACTAGATGGCGCAAGCATTCCATACTTCGCACAGGGAGCATAGGTTTGAGAGAGGCGGCAATTCAAACCATAGACAGCTCTTGTATTTTAATCCCGGACGTCTTCCGCGTAGCTTGGGTGCTTGTCCGCATGTGTGCCTTTTCCAGTAGCGAGGAGGATCGCATGCGGAAAGGCGAAGCACGGCAGAGACGAGACTTGCGCTTGTTAGTTAAAAAAATATAACCGTGTACAACTATAGTAAGTTACAGGCCAAGAAGGTAGCGGCAGATGCCCCTCGAGGGGAATCATATACCCTTCAAGCGTGAAAACAGCGCAAAAAATTGAACAAAGGACAAGTGAAAGGAGTGCACGGACAAAGCGCTGACTGTTAACTAAAGTTTAATTTTCAGGCGAACCAGAAAAATAAACACAGAGCATAAGAAAGAACCAATAAAGACACAAAAATATTTTACAACCCAACCGACAAGATTTCTTCCACGTCATCACCCTCACACATGCCTGCCATTCTCCCTGATAAAAAGGACCTCATCATCCCCCAAGTGCACCGACGGTGCGCTCACACATTGCCCTTCCCTTTTAGATAAATTGAAAAAAAAAGCCTCGTCAATCTCCCTGGCGGTCTTACTTTTATTGCGCGCCAAGATCGTCAAGTCATGAAAAACAGGTACGCAGCCGCACCTACTGCAATGTACCGCTAAGTGGCCAGCGGGGGAGGAACGGAGAGAAAGGGAATGTTCCCTCGCCCTCTCGTTCACGCACCTCCCCGTTGTCCAATGTACACCCTACCACACGTGAAGGGGATCTGATACACAACCCCCACTGCGCATGGTACAAAAGGAGTGCGGTGGTTTACATCACATTGCAAATCACTGTTCCTCCCTCGGTTGACAGCAGTGCACAGGCGTGACAGCTTCTGGGGTGCTGAAAACACCACTGGCATGTTAAACTTACGCGCCACTCGCCAGCCCACATGGGCCTCCCTTGTTGGGCCCATAGTGAGCCTAGTTGGGCAGCCCACATGTATCCCCCTTCCCCCCCCCCCCCCCCCCCCCCGGAACCTAAATTTGCTCGGCGTAATTCCATAATTTTACTGCGGTGGGGGGTATTGCAGTGCATTCCAAACTCAACATGCCTCACTTTTTCCATTTTCCCTCTAGTAATAGTATTACCATTTTGATAATCAATGAAACGTCATGAGCAATAACTAGGAAAATTAGGCAATTTAAGTCCACAAAATGGTGCAAAACTGTGCACGTTTCTATATAAACTCTTGTTGGACAGGTACAGCTTGAGCCAGCTACCGACATACGACACCCCGACGAGAGTGTTTAGAATTCACCCTCAAATTAAACACTCTGCGTAAAATTTCCACCCATGTAAAACGGCCTTTCATACACGCTGAGTAGTAAATTAGTGTTACAGTTCCCGGTGATTTAATGTTATATCAAATTGATCTCTTAAACTGAATTTCCAGTACGCGCTGTTAATGTTCTTGATATCAGCAGAAAGTGCCATTTTTGGAGTTGCACTGGCAGTTTAAATTGGGCGTTCCCCCGCTTCGCTCCCTTGGAGCCCACATCTATGCCAACCTTGCCCCCATACAGCCGACGCGGAGCCCAAGGGGGCATTGTCTGGGCAGCCCCAGTTGGGCGGCTGTTACCAAGCAGGGATGGACAAAATACATGCAAATATGTATCGAAATACAAATACAAAATACTTCGTCAAAGATGTATTTAATTACAAATCTAATTACATTTCCAAAAAGCATTTAAGTACAACATAGAAATAAACCAAATGTATTTGGTCTCCTCCAAATACTTTTCCAAATACATTCCTCAAAATTTGCGTCAGTGACTTAGGGCACCTGCAACGGGTTTATGGGTATCTCATTTTAATTTTGCATCGCAAACTCGGGAGTTAGTGTGCGAGGCTCTAGTAACGTAATAGAAATATAACCACAAAAAAGTGTAATCAGCTTGGACGTAATAGGTGAAAAAAGTACAGAGCTTCAAGCTGCTTTTTTGTCGATTACATTTTAGTATAGACCAACAATGAACGAAACCAAAACGCGCAGCACTAGCTAGAGATTTTTTTATTGTTGCAACTCGCACCAGTTACGAAACTCTGGACGACCCGCGCATTTCGAATGCTCCAGGCAAAAATATGGATGGAAATCAGGCTGGAAAGCATCACAAGTTGTTACAGGCACTCATTTAGCCAGTGTGCCTGTGAACGTTGATTTCGTCACTATTCTTGTCCTGAACTCGCGCCGTAATCACAAAGTCACTGAACACTTGTGCTTGATTGAGAGACACTGCATTCGGTGCAGAACGTAGTTTTCTAAAAAAAAAAATAGTCAGTAGTTTTCTTCCTGCTCTGGACAATGACATTAAATTTGAGGGATGTATTTTCACCCACAAAATTGTATTTAATTACAATTGTATTTGAAATACCCACTTTAGTATTTAAATACAAACGTCAAATACATTACCCAATTTGTAATTTAATACAAATGCAAAATACACAAAGTATTTAAAATACTTGTATTTTAAATACTGCCCATCCCTGTTACCAGGTTCCGTGGAGCCTACCTTTGCGCTAACTCTGTCTCCGTATTGCCGATGTGGAACCCACAAGGTCGTTGCCTGGGCAGCCCAAGTTGAGCATCTCCCCTTGAAATAGTCTACCTTTGTGCTAACTGTGCCCCCGTATGGCCCAGGTGGGACCCACGGGGGCATTGCATGGGTAGCCGAAGTGTGCATGGCCCTATGGAGCCTACCTCTGTGCTAACTACACCCATGCAGTTAGCACAGCCATGCACCTATAGGCAACATGCCTATAAGTGGGACGCACGGGGGAATTCCATGGGCAGCCTAAGTTAAGCATGCGGCATGCCCCCGTGGAGCCCACCTCTCCGCCCCTTACATAGCCGAGGTTGGTCCCACGGGGGCATTGCGAGGGCAGCCCAAGTTGGGCATGCCCACGTGTATCCGCAGTGGGACCCACGGCACGGTGGTACTGTGTTGGGGGCCCAAGTGGGCTTGCCCTCCCTTTGCCTACACCTACGCTAACTTTGCCCCCGCATTATCGAAGTGGGACCCACGGGGATTATTTGGTGGGCAGCCCGAAATGGGCTTGCCCACGCCACACGGACGTGGGGCCCATATGTGCTTCCTTTCATCTGCTACCTGTGATATAATATGAATGTGCTTTATTTTATCGATGGCGAGGTTCTTCAGCAAAATGTATTTCGAATAGTCGAATGGTGTTCAGCCAACATGATATCAATGAATCCGTCGAAAAAGAGCAATGTCTAGTCGATGTGCAGAAGTATTGTATTACAATACGATTACAATGTGGAAGGAACGATAATCAAACGCGTGTCTGTTGTAAAAGTCATTGGTGTGTGCATGAATAGCACACTGACGTTTGTTACTCACATGTATTTTAATATTTCCAACGGGATGAGGACGTTGGGTATCATATCACGCATTACCCAGAGCTTCAAGGACCAGCCGGCAATCGCTCATTTATTTTGTGCCTTAGATCAAGTTTGGAATCTTGTTGCCTTGCTTAGGATTCATTATCTCAAAGTCAAGCAACAAAATTGAAGTTCTGCTGGGAAGGCTCATTCGCATTGTTTGCGACCACTATTTTTACGACAATCTTATTTTCATTGCGCGATTTTTTTTTTATGAAGTTTCCCTATGAACCTTAAAGAAGACGAGCAAACCCTGATCTTAAATATTCCTCCAAACTAGTAAATGGAATAATAAAAATAACGTGCTTTTTGCTGACGCAATTTTATACATGTCCCACCTCGTTGGAATAGAAATCATTCCGTCTTTTCTGCGCATACTATGTATTTTCTATAACCCATAACGCACGCACAATCGCATTTTAATTGCTTGAATAATACAAGGATAGACTTATTCAGGTACTTCACAATTTTCAGGAAGCAAATAAACGGGTCGATTGCCACTTTGTGCATTTAGTATGCTTGACTCCTGACCTTTCGCTTTGTTTTGCTTTCCTTTTTTTTCTTTTTTTTTTGTTCAATGTATCGTACTTGCACACCGATGTAAATACCAAGAATCACTAAGGCTATTAAACGGCTCACCTTTAACTCTAACCATGCCAATGATGGCAAATATCACCCAATGTCCTGTGCATAACGAACTGGTATTTTTTTCCAATTTTAGTGCACGTATACTAGGCCCCACCCCTGTTGAAAATTCCATCAAGATACGTAATTTGGGACACTGACTGCCAGTCAGCATCCTTGGTGGAACGTGCCCTGATGGTCCATCAGATGACGTCTGACTGCCACTGCCAAGGGAATTTCATCAACAAGGGCAGCATTTATATAAGAGTAAAGCTATACGCCCTCATAAATATCGCCAAATGCCTCGATAAAACAAAATGTTCGAGAAAAAAAAAGAAAAAAAAAAAAAAGCAGGACCACGGAGGATCGAACCCGCGACTACTTGGGTACAAATAGGACACCTTAACTCCTATGCTATGCCATCGCTTAGGAAACTCGATTTGACCATTTGTTTTATTCAAGTTTAGGGGAGCGCGGCTTTACCCTTTATATAAAGCTCAAATTCCGAGGTGGCATTCTTGCATGGCTGTGAGACGGTTCACAAATGCTTAAAATGAATGTAATTCATAACATCAAAAATCAGGAAAAGTGTGTATCCGTCCTTTTTTTTCTTTTTTT